AAAGAAAGAAAGAAAGAAAGAAAGAAAGAAAGAAAGAAAGAAAGAAATATACACACAGACACACACACACAAATCAAAGTTATCTCACTACTGGGGTCTGAAGATGTACCTCGACTGACATGCCCAAGGCTCAGGGTTCCATTCCCAGAACCAGAAGAGTAATTCTGGCAATAATTCAAGCATGCTGCCAGCCGTCTTGCTCCACTTACCCTGAGGGTTTTGTGATAGAGTGTTTTCCTCATCATCTGATTTCCCGCTTGCTCCTTAAAGCTGTCTCTTTTATGAAGCCTTTATCAGTATCATTTTGAGTTTCCAATAACTACAACCTAACAGTTCCAGATTTAAAAAAAAAAAAAAAAAAAAAAACTGAGGTAGACACACCTGTGATCACATTCCTTGGGCGACTGAAGCCAAAACCTTGCAGCTTGAAGTCTGGCTAATTAGCAAGGCGCTAGGAAGTTTTTTGAGCTTGTAAATTTTTTTCTTCAGGGCACTGGCAAGACAGTTCAGTGGGTAGAGACACTTGCTGCCAAGCTTGGCAGCTTGAGTTCGATCCCAAGAACTCACATGGTAACCGGACAAAACCAACTGCCCCAGGCTGTCCTCTGACCTCCACTCATGGACTGTAGCACATGTGTGTGTCACACACACACATACAAAAAGCATTACTTTTATTTCATCTCTGTACTACATAAAGCATTCATCCTGGGGGCTGGAGAGATAACTCAGAAATTAAGAGTGCTGACTGCTCTTCCAGGTTTCCTGAGTTCATTTCCCAGCAATCAATGGTGGGTCCCAAGCATCTATAGTGAGATCTGCTGCCCTCTTCTGGCATGCAGGCATACATGCAGGTAGAACACTATATATAATAAATAAATGATATATTGTTAAAAATTCATCTTTTCTTTGTAGTGAGAATATAATCTTGAAATATGTGAAAGCTGGTCATGGTGGCATATTCCTCCTCCTATCTAAGCACTTAAGAGACAGAGGCAGAAATCAAGAGTCAGTCTTAACCACATCCCAAGTTCAAAGCCAGCCTGGGCAACTTGAGTCATTAAAAAACAAACAAACAAACAGTGCTGTAAATCTCTGTTCCTTACAGTGTCTGTACTATAGGAGCTTAATCTTCCTATTTATCTGCTGCATTGTTATCAACTAAGCAACCTCCCTGACTCCTTAGCTCCTTAGCCTCCTTAGCCTCCCAGCTTTTGGAAACTTGTAGTCTACCTGCTACTTTTTTTTTTTCTTTTACTCAGGTTCCACTGGCTAGCCTGGAACTCTCCATGTATCCCAGGCTGGCCTCAAACTTATGGCAACCCTCGTGTCTCAGCCTTCTAAGTGTTTTAATTACAGGTGAAGCCACTATACCCAGATTTTTCCCTCAACTTCATCAATCAAGATTTTTTGTTTTGTTGGTTGGTTTTGGTTTTTTGACACTGGGTTTCTCTGTAGCTTTGGAGCCTGTCCTGGAACTAGCTCTTGTAGACCAGGCTGGCCGCGAACTCACAAAGGCCTGCCTGTCTCTGTCTCCCGAGTGCTGGGATTAAAGGTGTGCACCACCGCCACCCAGCTTTATATTCCCTATTTTAGGAACACAGAGTGTTTGTTACTCTGTTCCTGACTTATTTCACTTAACACAATGTCCTGCAGGCTTATCCATGTCGTCCCCAATGTGTATTCTGCCCCACAGCAGCCCTATATTGGCTTTCCTGGATTTTCCAAGTACAACATCTCACCATCTACAGCATGCATTGTATGGCTTGCTTTTAAGACACTTCAGCCCTCTTACAGAGAATTCCCAGAGCAGCAGTCAGTGTCCTTTCCCTTGGCTTTAGCATGAGTGCCCATTGTGTTCCCTCCCTAACTGCTCTGGTCCCAGACTATCAATTCTGCTGGGGAAACTTTTGAATTGTGGTGAGTTTTTGCTTCTGATTCTTCCCTTTAAAAGAAACAAATGAGGGCTGCAGAAATGGCTCAACAGTTGAGAGCACTTGCTCTTCTTACAAAAGACCCTGATTTGGTACCCAGCACTCACAAGGTGGCTCACAACCATCTGTAGCTCCAGTTCTAAGGCATCAGTGCCTCCTTCTGACCTCCAGTGACAGCAGGTATAATTGTAATGAACGTACAGAAATGCAGCCAAAATATTCATGCACATAAAATAAATATTTTTTTCTTAATGTTATTTTTCTTCCAGATACAAAATCATCCTATAGGACCAACCATTTATCTAGTCAAAGAAGCATTTATGGATTGAGCTTTTACAAAAGTAATCCAAGTGACAAAAGTCTATCTCCCCACCCTAACAGGGTTGGTGAAGGTAAATATTAACAACCGCACGGCTCTGGAGAGGGAAATGTCAATAATGTAACAGACAGTGCTAGAAAAGCACCCACTGAGAGAGAAAGCACACCTACACTGTATGTGAGGGCTCAAAAGGAGAGGTCCTTCTTATGTCAGGGCTATGGGAAAGCCTTCAGGCATGGGTATCAGCTCAGTCAGCATCAGAGAATTCACACTGGCGAGAAGCCCTGTGGGTGAGTGTAAAGATTGCAAGAAAGCCTTCCGCTGCTGCAATCCGCTTGCTCAGCACCAGAAAATTAACACCGGGAAGAAGCCTTATGATTGTAACAGCTGCGGAAAGGCCTCTTGCTGGGGTTCGAGCCTTTTTGTTCATAGAATTCACACTGGGGAGAAACCATGCTTACGTAAAGACTGTGGGGAAACCTTTAGGTGTGGCGACGAACTCACTCGGCATCAGCAGTTTCATACTGGGGAGAAAAGCTATGAGTATAAAGACTGTGGGAAGACTTTCAGGCACTCTATAAACTTGTGCAGCACAAGGGAATTCACTGTGGGGATAAGCCCTATGAGAGGAAGGACGGTGGGAAGGCCTTTATTTGCGATTCCAGCCTCATTCAGCCTGAGAGAATCCACACAGGTGAAAAACCCTTTGAATGCCAAGAGTGTGGGAAGTCCTTTACTAGAGTCGCTTACCTCACTCAGCACCAGAAGCTTCACACTGGCGAGAAACCACATGAGTGTAAGGAATGTAGGAGGGCCTTTCGCTGGCTTTCAAGCCTTGTTAACCATGAAAGAATTCATTCAAGTGAGAAACCCTATAAATGTACAGAATGTGGGAAGGCCTTTATAGATGGATCAGGCCTTCTTAAACATGAGCAAATTCACACTGGTGAAACCCCTATAAATTTAAGGAATGTGGGAAGAACATTATATATGGATCAAGACTTCTTAAACATGAATGAATTCACACAGGAGAGAAACCCCACAAATGTAAGGAATGTGTGAAGACCTTTAGTCATGCCCATCAGCTTAGACAGCATGAGAAAACGCACATGGCAAAATCGTGTCAGGAGTGTGGAAAGATTCACAGTAATATAAAGAGAACATCAGAAGACTCATGCACATTGAAAACATTGACTACAAAGAGCATACCAAGGCCTCTGTCCTACATTCATTCTTTCCTTGGTGATTAATCTATCTTAAGAAAGCCTTCCATGGTCTTTGCCTGCTTGATATCAGAAGGCACACTAGAAATGAATTGGGGGAGTGTAAAAGTCACTTTTCTTAGCCATCATGTCCTTCCATGGTGTTTTTACTGGATGAGTTCGTCTTTCCTTAATGATCACATCCTTTCCTCTTGGTGTTCTTACTGGATAAGTTTGTTGAGTAAATTTGTAGATGCTCACCAATACCATTCCACTTTTCATTGCATTTAGGTTCATTCGAGGGAGCAACCCTGCTCATGTGGCACTTGTGACAAAGCCTTTAGTCTTGGCATATGCCGTACCAACTAGCATCACCATTCCACCTCTTTGCTCTCTGTGAGACACTCACAAGCTGCTCCTCACCCCCAACAAATCCATCTTACACTGCAGGAGATCAGCTGAAAATGCACTTAAGACACCTTACCAACCAAACACCACAGCTTAACCCAGCTTGCCTCCAGTGTGCTCAGAGCATGCCTTTATCCTACACTGGGCAAAATCATCTAACACAAAGTCTATTTGGTAATAAAATATAGAGTCTCACACAATTTCTCGACTAACGGTCAGGGATGTTAGCAGATGCCTGTAATCTCAAGAGACTGAGATAGGAAGATTGAGAGTTCAAGGCTAGCCTGAGCAACATACCAGATTTCAGACTCGTCTACATAGCATCACCCTGCCTCAAAAAGTTTTTTTGAATATTGTGTTAAAAGTGAATATCAGTGGTGTATCAAGGATGCTTTCACACCATTGTGATGTTGAAAGATCTATGGTTATATTAGGTACACTTTCACACCATCTTGAAGCTCAAAAATCAGTTCTTGTATTCAGTTCACTTCTACAGAGTTAAAAATTGAGTACTTACATTGAATATGTTTTCACACCATTCTAGAGCTGAAAAATCAAGTGGTGGCTTGGATGTTTTCACACTGTCATAAAATGGAAAAACAGTTATACTCAGTATACTTCTGTGCTACTGTACAGCTGAAAAATCTGGTCATGTTGAGTGTGCTTTCACAGAATTGACAGCATCGGTGATTAGACTGGGCATGCCTTTGTAAAACTGAATAATCAGTAGTTATATTGAACATGTTTTCACACCATCACGAAGCTGAAAAATCCATAGTTGTGTGGACACACTTTCACAACGTTGTGATTGGAAAAGGCTATGAGCCGGGCAGTGCTGGTGCATGCCTTTAATCCCAGCACTGGGGAGGCAGAGGCAGGCGGATCTCTGAGTTCGAGGCCAGCCTAGGCTACAAGAGCTAGTTCCAGGACAGGCTCCAAAACTACAGAGAAACCCTGTCTTGAAAAACCAAAAAAAAAAAAAAAAGGCTATGGTTGGTGGACTGCTTTTGTGTGCCATCAGAAAGTTGAAAACCTCCATATAGCAAGACTGCCTGTGTTTGTAAAATGTCTGTTCTTCAAATGAGGAGCAGAAGGAGGAAGAACATGAAAAAAACTCAGGACCGCGAGGGGTGCGATCACCCACTGATACAAGGGGACTGATCTAATGAGAGTTCACCAAGGCCAGTTGGACTGGGACTGAACGAGCATGTGATCCAACCAGATTTTCTGAATGTGGCCAGATTCTCTGAATGTGGCTGGCCCGGAACCTTTCTGAAAAGCCACTGACAAGGACACTGGGACTTGTTTCCTCTGCATATACTGGATTTTTGGGATCCAGTCTGTTCGGATACTCACCTTCCGGGATCTGGAAGGAGGGGGGAGGATCTTGAACTTCCCACGGGGCTGGAAGCCCTGACTGTTCTTAGGGATGGAGGGGGAGGAGGAGGGGGAGGGGGGAGGGGGAGGGTGTTGGGAGGAGGGGCGGAAATGGAAACTTTCATAATTTAATAAACTTCAAAAAAAATAGGTAAAAAAAAACAAAAAAAAATTTTAAAAAATGTCTGTTCTTTGCATGCCTTGCCCATAAGGATAAACCAACTATGGAAACTAAATGTAAACTCCCTGAGACTGTCTCAGGAGACTGTCAGGTCCATAATTACTGCCTATTACTGTTCTTGTGGTCATCATCATTAGTACTGTTATCATAAGCCATTCCAGGTAGACCCCTGTGGGTTCCCTTGGAATGTGACAGAGATGGCATTAGGGAGGACTGTTTTCATCTTGGATTAAGCAGTGATTTCTTAGTGCATGGACCACACTGAAGGGAAAAGATCATTAGACTTCATCAGACTACAGTCTGTTGATGAAGAAATAAAGAAAGGTGAGGAACAGAGTGAGGTGTGCACCAATCTGCAGACTTCCCGAGGCATCAGGAATCCCACAGTCAACAGAGACTCAGAGGTGACACATGTCAGAGATCACCAGGTGGCCAATAAGTTAATGGAAATGTGTCCCACCTCATTCCTCAGCAAGGAAACGCAAAGGAAAACCACAATGGCATGTCAGGAGAGTCACAGGAATTCCTAACATTAAAATAAGAAAGTAGATCAAAAATCTCACCACACAAGTAAGTGAGGTGATGGATGTTTCTTCAGTTCAGTCATTCTCCATTGTATACATGTATTAAAACATCACAGTGTTCTCTACAAAGGTAATATACAAAGTAAATACTAAGTGTAACACAATTATTTATTCATTAAAAATAACTAAAATTTTAAAAAGTAACTTTGGACTGGACTTATGTAGTCAGATGAACTGTTTGTAAATGAATGGAGCCAGTGAACATTGCAGATAGAGGCAGGGGGCTGAAAGCACTTGTCTTGGTGAGGGGACCATGACACATGTTCCCTAGAGTCCTAGGTGGGATATGGGGAACAGAGATGGGAACTAAGCCTTCTTATGAGAGGGCTAGAATGAGGGAATGATAAACTCGGGAAGGAGCCTGGAACTAAGGGGGCCAGGGTTTGACATTAGTGGAACTAGAGTTAGAGTTTCTGGAGCCCAGAAAGGAATAATGCTTTGCTGATGCCCATGGGAGGGCCATCCTTTCAGGTTGGAGACGGAAGAGTGGGGAGGGGGGAGCAACTTAGAATGGATTGTAAAATAAATGAAAAAAATTAATGAAAAAAAGAAAAAGAAGGGATAGAGCTCAAGACCAAGTGCCACTAGATTAAAAATCATAATAATAATAAAATAAAAATCTGAAAAGGGTTCAAATGCTCTAAGTTCCTTAGAGCTGCTGGATGCAGGAGGAGAACTTGAGTTGGGAGACAGTGGTGTGCCTGACACCCAGGATTGTCTTATGGAACTTGGTCAAGGACCCAGAATCTAGGGCTGAAGAAAGGGATATGTTCGTTTTACTCAGTGTTATATCTCATCTAAGGTTTCTCATTATTGTGTTGTATATGTATTGATAATACGTTAATAATTTTGAGTCATCTCCAGGCAGTGGTGACACACACTAAGGAGGCAGAGAGGCAGGCAGAGCTCTGTGAATTCGAGGACAGCCAGAACTACACAAAGAAATTCTGTCTCAAAAACAAAACAAAACAAAAAAGATTTTGGAGTTTTCTAGGCGTGTTCACAGTGCCAGATTCAGGTTTCAGAAGCAGCCTTCCTCCTGCACAAGGCTTCATGTGCAAATATCCTTGTAGATGCTATGCTCCTCATTGCCCACTTCTGAATACACCATGCCAATATCAGAAGGGACCCAGTATTCCCTCCCCACTACCAATGGAGCTAGGCTCTCCCTTCCTCACTATTGCTTTGTAAGCTGGAGACAGAAGGGATAAGAAAGGAAGGCCAGATGGTGGTGGTACATGTCTTTAATCCCTTTACTCTGGAGGCAGAAGCAAGCAGATCTCTGTGAGTTCAATGCCAGCCTGGTCTATGAAGCAAGTTCCAAAATATCCAGAGCTGTCACACAGAGAAACCCTGTCAAAAGAAAGAAAGAGACAGACAGAAAAGGAAGGAAGGACGGAACGAAGGAAGAAAGGAATAGAGGGAGGGAAGAAAGGAGGGAGGGAGGGAGGGAGAAAGAGACGGAGAGATTTTACAGATCATTGAACCACCATGTGGATGCTGGGAACCAAACCCAGGTATTCTGCAAGAGCAGCACCTTTAATGGCAGTGCCATCTCTCCACACCCTAAATGATGCTTTTGTTTTGCTTGTTTTATATGATCTACATCACCATGTAAGCTGAGCTGGTCTCAAACTTGTGATCCTTCTACCAAAAATATGCTACAGGTATATGCCACCACATTCAGTCACACTCTGGATCTTACTAGAAAGTAAGCACGAAAAGGTACATCTAAAGCCAGGCATCGTGGCCCACACCTTTAATCCCAGTACTCAGGAGGCAAAGTGAGGCATATCTGTGAGTTCAGGCCAGCCTGGTTCGCAGAGAGAGTTCCAGGACAACCCAGGCTACACAGAGAAACCCTGTGTCAAAAAAAAGATACATCTATCTGGGTGTGGTAGCATACACAGCAATACACTCAAGAAGCTGACACAGGAAGGTTGCCACAGTTAGAGGCCAGCCTGGGCTACATTAGGAGGCTGTGTTTTTTATTTTTAAAAAAAAATAAGAGAGAGTTCAGAGCTAGTAAGATGTCTCTACTAATAGAGGCACTTTGCCACTAAGCTTGACGACCTGAGTTTTAGCCTAAAGTCACACATGGTAGAAGGACAGAACTGACTCTCACAAGTTGTCCTCTGATGTCTAGATGCTTGCCGTACCACTCACACATATACACACAGAAAAATAAATTTATATTTGTCTCTACTTGGTTTATTTCACTTGACATAATATGCATCCTCTAAGTTTACATACATATTGCCACAAATGAACAATGTCCTATATATCTGGAAAATGCTAATTTTAAATGTTTTTATCAAAAGCATAAATGTAGGGCTGGGGATGGAACTCAATTGATAGAGTGCTTGAAGCTCAGTTGATAGCATGCTTGAAGCCCTGGCCTGAACTTCAGCACCATATTGAGCTTGGAGCCAGGTAGTGGTAGCACATGCCTTTAATCTCAGCACTTGGGAGGCAGGGGCAGGCAGATCTCTGAGTTT